ATATATATATATATATATATATATATATATAAAATATAAAGATACACGTATATTATTCAATTTTTCTTTTTCTTTGATAGTAGCAGTGCTAGGAAAAAGAATCGCGAGCTAACAATTGTTTCTGTGGCACATACAAATATTCCACCAAAAGAACCAGTGGTTTATACTAAACAAACACAAACTATTCAGACATCGCACACATCTCACGACGGTGAGTCACTATATTCAATTTTTAAATTTATTGCACTTTTGTGTTGCTCTTGTGAATATAAAACTATATATAACCATTTAAAATATCTTAATATTTGTATTACATTAATGTCAATTTAATTAATTAGTTAATTATAAGAATAAGTTTTTGATGTTTTTAAAAAATGAATTGATTGAACAAATGAAAAATATGTTATTATTATATATTATTTACTTAATTAATTGCATAAATTGTTAATCCTTTGTATTCTAAAGTTGCCAATTTGATAAGATTTATATAAATTTAATTTGGTATTTTTCTACAATAAAAATTTAAGAAGTAAAATTTTTTATGCATAGTTTTTGTTAATTATTTAGAAATCTCTTTATTAGTGTTTACAGAGATGATATATTTTTATAATTGATAAAACATTATTATAATTTGATGCAATTTAATGACATTAGCATAAAATAAATAGAATCTGAATTGTCTGGTTTCAGTGGAACTTTCAAATTGTTTATGTCATTAAAAAAAACACACTAAATTACAATTTCTTTAATATATTATTAAATATTCAATGTTGTTATAGTTAAATTAAAAATATTAAATATCTAATTTCTAAATTATGTTTAAATAAGGATACAAAGGATTATAAAATTTGACACTTTTTTAATTTTTTAAAAAATGCAATCGCTTTCACATATATCTATATATGGTTGAATATGGTAAAGTGGGTGGTGTATATAAGAATCTATATTTTAAAACATATATGCCATTAATGACATCTTTAATAAGTATCTAGTACTGAATCTAGTACTCATCAGATGCAATAATACCCACATACATTGTGTAATAATGCACAATTAATTATATCAGTGTTACTTGCTTTATTTATGACAATAATTTTATTGTGATAACAATAAGAATTGTTTCACTTATTTATATTGTGTTTTATAATTAATTTTAACTAATGAGGAAACTTACATATTCTTAAAGTTTGTTCATCTTTTAAAATAACTTGTTACATACTTGCAGCACTATTGACATTTGATTTACTTTTTTTATTTTGTGCATTAGCTTTTGTTGAATTGTTTCCAACTATTTTCAACACTTCTTGAACAAGCAAATCTTTTGGAAAAAATAATTACATTCTTAAATATAAGATTTTTGTTTGGACAGTTTCTAAATATATTAATAAATAAATTCACTTTCCTTTAATATTTTTTTTAATTAGATAATTAATAAGAATAATAACAAAGAAAATTGTGTTTTTCATGTTATTGAAGAAATAATAATTGCACCATGATATGCAAGTATATTATATAATGGTATTCTAACATACAATTAAATAGTAAACGTTTTGATGTTTTTATTTGTAAATTTTTAAATATTTCATAAGGAAATTATTAGTAGAAATGGATAACATCTAACACTAAATTGGGTTATGGAAACAAATATTTTTTTTGGTGATGGAAACTACTTTTTAAAAATATTTCTCACTTCCTTACTAAACCGCAATTTCAGTTGGTTGTGATTTTCAATTTTTAATTTATCCAATAATGTTATATAAATATTTTAATTTATAAGTCATCTTTAAACTTTAATTATATAAATATTCATACAAATTATCGAAAGTTGGTATTTTTGGATTACTCCATTTTTTATACCACCTACTTTACTGCAAATTTGTTGAAATATCAATCTTTAATATCTTTTAATATGTCATTTTTCATAAATTTAATTTGTTAAAATTTACTTTTTAATATATAATGATTGTCAATTTATAAAATGAATCTAAATTCAATATAAATATTATATAATATCAATATAAATAATGATAATGATTGTTAGCTTAGAAAATTATTCAATATAAAAATATGGGATGTATTACGTGTTACATGCGTGTCCCGTTACCTAACTGATTTTGCGGCATTATTAAATATACGCGTATTCCATTGTCTTGCGATACAAACGGTCAAATCAACTGGTGTTGGACATAAGGACTGTCCGCATCTTCTTCTGCATACACCATCTACTCGTCCTGTTCAACAACAACACCAACTCACTCTTACTCCGCAGGCTACTTTGAGACTGACTGGTGGCGTCCCAGGAAAGGTGGGTCTGCACCAAACTACCTATGTATGTTCTGTCTTCTTTTTATTACCTTTCCTATAATTGTTGTACAACAGTATATGAAATAGAGGTAGATACATGGCTATCTATATTTACAATAAAGGAGTGTAGAATCAAATCTGATTGATCTTTATTAATTTTTATATTTATATTTTAATATAATTAGAATATAATTATTTTTTAATTAAACTAATTGAGAATTGATTCTACAGTTCTAATTAATTTACAAATGTTGTATATGGAGATGTTGAAATATTAAAAATTTAATATTTCATACTTTAAAATACTTTAAAATAAGTTCAAGTAGACAAATATTTTAAATTATATTAAGTATAAAAAGAGAATTTTTTAAGAATATTAAGGATGATAGTTTACTAACATTAATTCCATGTACGACATCTCTCTGTTTGCATAAATAGGCTTTTAACACGCTTTATATGGATAATTTAATTTGATAATATACTAACAGTTTATTAAAGTTATACAATACATTAACATTAGGCGTCCTGTTTGTTGGGAAAATTTAATTTTATTTCAACAAAAGTTCAAAAGTATACCTTGACTCATGTGTGCTAGCGTTAAATTTATTATATCAACCAGATGAATATATTGTTGAAGCTTTAATAATTTCTGAATATTCTTAGAAACCGATATTGTAGCAATTATTATAATATATTAGCAATTCAGTTATTTAGTATTTCATTTAATATTAAAAAAAAAAATGTTTCAAATGTTTGTATGTGATGTCTGTTGTTTTTTATTTATTATAGTGTGCAAAATGTAGCGCATTATGGATTTGTCCAATACTCTAACAAAACTTATATTTTGAATAATTTATAATAAAATTTATTTCTGAGAAACTTAGGGGGGTGAAAATAAGTGTGACAAGGGATGTAAGTGAGATATTAAATTTTGTTTAGATATAAGCATCCATTGGTAGTCACATTAGATAACAAATTTCATATTAAGTATTCAATATAAAATTTAAAAGGTGTCAAATTATGAGGAAAATTACAATTATATTAATTGAAATTACTAGAAAAATTATAATCATATTAATGTAAGGAAAATTGAATATGTATGTTTCCTCTTAATATACGAACCAAAGCACAGCACAATATAAAAATTTATATATCTATACCTACCTAACTACATTCAGCATATAAAAATCATTTATATTTTTGATTTTTTGTTGATATGATTAAAACTTAAATTCCTTTTAATTTAAAAAAAAATGATAAATAACTAATTTTTATAAAGGCAAATATATTTTTACCAATACATGAAATTAATGAGAAATGTTATAAATGCTTTGAAAGAAGTTAATAAGAAAATAGATTGTTTGAAGTTTAAATTATAGATATTCAATACAACAATAATATTGTACTGTACAAATAGTATTGTTTTTTCTTTTACTTGACTTTTTCTTATACATTTTATTAACTTTTTTTAATATGCTTATGATCTGAGTGTAGAGAGGTGTTATTAGTGTAGTGCATTCTTAAAGGATTGTAACTAAGTGCAATTTTTTTCCTCCTCTTCTCAGCTCATGCATTCGACTATTACGGTAAGTTACGATTTCTCTTGGTTTTCAACAAGTTTTAGGTTCAGATTTAGGTTTAGATATTCCGTTTATTTTCTTTGAGTATTTAATGTGTATGTAAATGAGATACAAATCTAAAATATTAGGATGAAATAAATATCTAAGAATTAAATTATCAAATGCAAATATAAATTTTTTACATTAAAATAAATTTTAAAGGTAAGAGAATCATTACATGGGTTAATTAGTAAACTAGAGAATGCACTCTCTCTCTCTCTCTCTCTCTATTTCTATCTTTCTTATTAGCTCAAACTCAAACATTCATTTAGAAGTTGAATAACAAAGTGAGCTATATTTGAATAAAATTTATTAGTAATATAGATATACAAAATGACTCTCCACCCAGAACCTTAAATATCTTTGCTATCTTACACCTTGCTTTGGACTTTTTGGCTCTTTTACTCTTTTGTTTTTTTATTGGTGTATATTATGTTTAGTTTCTGCATTTATTATTTTTTAAATATTTATCTGACATCCCGATTCTCAAACAGAAATATTTCAACATTTACACATTTATAAAAGCATGCTCTGTAGATAATGAAAAGAAATAAAAACACATTATATTATCTTGCAATATATAATATATTATAGTATAAATTATCTTGCAATTCAAAGTATAATTTTAAATAAAAAAAATGCTTGTTTAAAATTGGACACCAATTATACATGAAACACAATGTACAGAATATGTATAACAAATTATTGTAAAAAATTTATTTGCAAAATGTAATTCCATGTTTTGAATACTTTAAACATTTAGTAGCCTTTATATCCTTAAAATATACAAATTTCTGAATTGTTCAACTCGAAATTCATATTTTATTTTATATTCTGTAGTATTAAATAAATATATTTAAAAAAATTTACAGACTACCTTTGGAATACTTAACATTCATTTACAGTTGAAGTTGAAAAGCTTTATCATGAAAAAATGAAATTTTGCACTTTATGTATTAGTCTGTTATATTTATATGATATCTTATTTATTAATTGAAATGCTTTTCCAATAATATTTCCTAATACAACTTTACACTAAAGAATATATTTAAGTAATTTAGTTAATCATTCAGTGTTGTTTGAAACTGGGATTGTCTAAAATAGGGAATGTTTTATTATATTGAATATCCATTGGCAAATCTTGTCACAACTTAACGCACCTTCCAGAGTTTTCGGCGCGATTTCACGGTTATAGTTTTTGTAATTTTTGGGTTATTATAGTATACTAACATGGGAGTGGATTTTATGGTGTTGGAGCCGGTAAATATTGTATAAATAGGAATTTTTGTTTAAATAGAAGAAAAGAACACACAGCAACGAGTTCTGTGGCTTGAGCTTTTAGTGTCGCAGAAGTTCGATTTGCAAACATTGCTTTTTAACAGCACGGTTTCGTTTTTTGTGAAAATGATATAGCAAGAAAGTTTATTGAATTAGCAAAAATTAGAGATTGTTTGTTTACATAGAAATACATTTTGTGAGAATAATACATATTTCAAATATTATTAATATGTTTTTCTAATAAAACGTGTCTGTATATTATTTAAACTCTATGATATTAAAATTTTGCTTTTTTAGTAACAATTATCTTAATACATATTTTTCAAATAAATTGAAAAAATGATAGTTTTTTTTTAATATAAATTAATAGTCGGAGATGTCAGTCTATTATGTTAACATATTTAAATTTTATTGATTTTTCTTCGTCTTCATTTTTTTTCTTTTTGTTATTCTAAAAATTTATTTTTCAAATTTTTCGATTTTATGTTTTTGATTTTATGTTTCAACGAATTTATTTAATTAAAAAATTACCCTTAGATTTTAAATTAGCAGCATAGCTTTAAATGAGTAAGAAGATTATAATATACGTATATATGATGATTTTTAACTGAAGTTTATTCGAAAGCCTAAGGGATTGCAATTTCATAAGATATATAATTAGATTGATATAACTTGAAATAATAATTAATCGCAGAAAAATTATTTTTTAAATATTTATTAATTCATTATATATTACGAAGGTAAATTTTTTTAGAAAATTTATGAATTTATTAATTCATTATATATATTAATATAAAAATATATTTTTAGAAAATTGAACTTGGGAATATAATATTTGTATTATAATATTTGTATAATATTATAATATTTCTATATAATAGTTATACGAATTTTACAAACGTATTAAATTTTTTTCATGTATTTTATCGATCCCTTTAAAATAATATATTTTGTTAATAAATATATTAATAATATATAAAATTATAATTTTGTTAATAAATATAATGAACTTTATAGGGTATAATACTATACTATTTGCATGTTTATATAGATATATTTATAATTAATATTACCGTCTCCGATCCAATATTACTATTTCAATCTTTCTAGCTAATTGTTGATGTATCTTGCATGAAGGAAGAAACATTAACGAACGTTTTATACATTGCTGTAATTGTTCACGACCGTAACGCTATCGCATTCAAAATAGATTGACAGCCTACTTACAGCGTACACGTATATGTTGCTACTTCTGAAAATTTCCGCCGTGTCAATAGAAGATATGTATATATATTTTTGTGCTATACATCAATAATTTCCTATGAGAGACATGAAATTAGATACAAACACAACTAACATGATGAAACACGTGATTGATTGACATTTTCTTTTCCCTCCTTCAAGACGAGTACAATCTAAATCCTGGTTTAGAATGGGAGGACGAATTTACAGGTAGGTAATCCTCTCTAGAGACGATTCACTCTACCTAATTAATATCACCAGTACATGAATTATATTCATTTTCACAAAATTGCATTTTGATTAGTAATATTTTCATTCAAGTTTTTTTTCTTCTATTCAGTTATTGTATTTATATGCACCGGAAGAGGGAAACTTGTAGTATCAATTTAGATTTGAATTTGCTTGATAAATCATCAGATTGTTAAGTAGCTTCTTTATGGTTTTGTCCTACAACTGTAAAAATTTTCGCTTAATTTGTCATGCATGCATAGATGTCATACGTAATAATTTTACAGTTTTATTCAATTATTCATCATCTTTCATTACGCATGATCCAAGTACTACATACATAGATCACCATTGTCATTTTCGTTCTATTTCTCACTTAGGCAATATTTTTTCTTTCAAATTCTAAAGATTTAGATTAAAAAAATTTCTTCATCTTCGTTTGTTTTTACATAAATTACATACATATTCTCTAGCTGCTGCATGAGACTTGGGAAGTTGCGTTAATATACCTCCACTTGATTTTTGTTTTTTTATTTTTTAGTTGTGCATAATTTTCAATGTTGAAAGACTCATGAGAAAAAAGAAGACAGTTGTATTCGTTAATGGGTATTACTAATATTGATGGCATTTATGAATCGATGTTTTATACCTATACATTACATTATAACGCAACATATACTTCACTTAAAAAATCATCGATCAAATCTTTCACTTCCTTCGACTCATTTTTTTCATTTCATTTGCGTTTATGCTAAAACGAAGGGTGGAGAGATATCGTTTCGAATGATATTCATGTCAATCGTAAAATATATTAGATGGAGGTTCAATCGTTATTTATTTGTATCCACCAACAAGCAGTCCACCTTCTTATATACAACTAATGTCAGTGCATGCGATTCAACATTCCTAATTGTCTTTCCCAATATATGTATGATTGTTCACTTTTCGATCAGTTATTATTCTTATTTTATTTTTTTTCTTAATGCGTATATTTATAATTTTTAAACGCTTTTACGAAAGCTTTTGAAAGAGAGTTGCATCCCTTAAGTTTGATGCTTTTTTTCTATATAAAAATTTTGTTTTATCTTTTTGCAACGTTTCAGTTACATGATTAATGAGCTAATAGATCTTCAAAGTTGAACGTGATAATCAACAAAAGAGTTGCACAATTTCAACAAATATACGAATGCATCGCGATTTTGCTCTTATGCATTTCTATCTTGTGTGTATTCTAATGTAATAGATTCTTGTAATTATTATTTTACATAGAACATCTTGTAGGAGATACCGAAGTTTACTACGTAGTGTTACGTTTATA